AGGCGGGTTTTGAAGACCTCCAGAGAAGGAGACTCCACAACCCCCCTGGGCAGCCTGTTCCACTGCTCTGTCACCCTCACAGGAAAGAAGTTCCTCCTCACCTTTATTTCACTGCAGAGAAGAAAATAAAAAAGACCCATAGCAGGGTTATTTTCAGTTGAGCAATCATTCTGTAAGTCTCTTATATTTATATTTTTATCCCTAAAAAGAACAGGAATAGCAGAAAGAAACAAGGAAAATATTAGAGGGGAAAAAATGCAGAAAGAAATTAATAGACAAGAGTTTCCAAGGCTGTTTTCTTGGAAATCTCTTACCTGAGAATAAGAAGGACACTAGCTCTGACAGTCTGTACTTTTCAATTTGCAGTGAACCAAATGCTTCTAATCCAACAGTGTCCACCCTAAACTCAACTGTGTCTAGCATCTCCCTTCACCTCCTCCACTATTAGTCTAAAACACCACTTGTTCCATTCTTAGCATAATAAGCAGGTACTATATTTTTGACGCACAAAACACAGAAAACCAATGATGAAAAGGAAGCAACAGTGCCACAGTGAGGGTAAGCAAAATAAAAAAGTTAAGAAGCCTTATAAACAGAAAGCAAAACACAGTAACAAGCAGGAGGCAGCAGCAGGCCTTGGAGCAAGAAAATCAAGTGGAGTCCTGGCTACAATGCGCATTTCCATGTGGCATGTGCCAGAGGAAGAGACTCAAACAAAGGGGAGTCATCTGAGGAGAAAGCTCCATTTGAATTTCTACTCAGCATAATATTAACACTGAAAATGGCCTTACGGTTAGCTATGCTTGTTTTTAGGCACCCTTGAGGCTCATAGAATAGCCTTCAACTTACCTGTGGATTGCATCCAACAGCAGCATTGGGGCGCTTCATAAGTCTTCCCATCTCATCATCCCAATCCCAGTCTTCATCTTCATCTTCCTCTTCATCATAATCATCATCTCCATCCTCAGAATTGATCTCTTCACACAAATGTGACTGGCAATTCTTGGATACTTCTCCTTTTTCAGCTGTTTCTGTATTCTCTTCACTTCAAACACAGACATTTATAAAACTACCAATGATCACTACAGTCATCAAGGTATTTGTCAGTTCACCTGTTTTTAAGTGGATATACAGAACAATATCACTATCTTTAAAGGACGGACTACACTTAAGTGATCTTCACTGCTTCAGTGCCACCTTCTAACTTCCTTTTACAGCCAATTAGATCCCTGTGACTCCCAACAGATGTCCGATGATGCTAGCCAGCTCCTCCATTGAAACCAAACCACTCTGCTGCTGCCACAGCATGGAAAAAAAAATAAGCACACGTACGAAAGAACTCTGAGGACTGAGCCCTTTTGACTTATACGAGCTTTTGATTTCACTCTATCACGCTTGCCACTCTCCTTGCTACGCTTGCACACGCTCCTGAGCAGATTTTCCGCAGGCACTTAGTACCTATTTGGCAAAATAGGAAGATTTGGAGCATGCAAGCAAAGACCTTATTCAATTCAAGAGAAACAGCAGCACGTTGGCACCACACCGTAGCCGAGAGAGCTGCCCAGACCTGCCCGCCCCGGGACCAGGATCAGTACTGGGACCGGACCGGGACCGCCCCCGCCATTCCCCTGCCTCGTACCCGTCGGAGCAGTCGGCGTCATCAAACTGCCCCGGGACGACGTGCCTCATGGCCTCCGCCCGATARTCCATGGCGGGCGCCAGCGACCCCCCAGCCCCACAGAGCGCACTGCGTGACGCAGGCCGCGCCCACACCATCGCCAGCGCCAACGGCCACCCGCTACGGCGCGGGAAGAGGGACAAAAAGCAGTGAACGCGGCCGGGCTGCGCAAGAGAGGCGGGGCCAGAACGTGTGTGTTTAAGCGGGCTGGGAGCCGCTTGCGTTCCGGCACCGGGATTGGCTTCGAGTGTCTGACGTCACAAGGGCGAGCGCGGCCGCTGAAGGGGCGGGGCGCAGGGTGTAACGGCCGCAACGGGCACGGCGCGCGCGGGGCTCTGCGGAACGGGGCGCGCACCCGCGGGGCCCGGCGGGCAGCGCCGGCTCGCCGGGGCTGTGTAAGACACCGGGCGTTTCTCAGCGCTCGCGGGCTGAGAATGGCGTCAGGATACATCTYTAACCGGTACACGCGAACGCTGCGCCGAAGCCTCTCGCTTTCTGTCGGCTCCTCCCCGCAAATACACGCACAAGGTTGCGGGGACTTCGTGCTAGTAATGGAGCAGAAGGTCCACGAGAGCGCTATTGGGGCAGCTAGAGAAATAGGAGTATAAACCCTGCAGAAGTCACAGCACATCACGTCGCTCTCACAAGCCCTACAAGGAGAAAATGGACCACCCTGGTGGTGGAGCTCATGACAACTATTCAATTTACTTAAGTGGGATACGGAGATCCTTAATAAGGCTGCACCTTCAACTTGTTTTTCTCATGTTAGAAATGACCATTTTCTCCTGTTAAGGCCATAGATTCATGGTTGCTTTTAGGAGGCATTATTTAGTATCGCTGTCCTTTCAGACAGAGTTTTGTATAATATACTCTGAAACATTACAGTCAGTTCTTTATTAATAAACACAAAACTCCTGCTGAAACCAAAGGAATTTCAAATTTTCTATCTCCATTAGAAGTATCTTAAGTAACCATAATGCCTATTACACTGCGCAAACATCCACCACTGTTTATATATTTATATAAAATAGATTTTTTAAAAAATCAGCATTATATTTGTATTTTCCAGTGCATAATGGCTATATAAGAAAGTGCAGTCTTCTTTAGCAGATGTGCTTCCATTATCCAAATGGTAAATGTAAAGGCTGTTTAAAAAAACCAAAAACTGTGATTGTTGCAGAAAGCGGTAAAAGAGATGCTTGTGCTGATAAACCTTTAAAATAAGTAATTTCCRTCTGCAGTGCTTCTCTAAAGTCAAACCATCGAGAGCCCCTGAATGTGGAAAGCAGCACAACCGCTTCAGACATTTCAGAGGTGTGTACACAAGAGCTTTACTTCAGGGCCATCTTCACTTAAGCTTCCAGGGCAACTTTTCTCCCTTTATACAATTTATACTTTTTTTTTTTAAATACAGATTTATACAATTTCCCCCCAACATWGGGAATATTTTGTCTCCCTATAGAAGAGTGTCAGGTGGTAAAGCAGAGAAGACTACATTACTGCTCATTCCAGGACAGGAGTTTGCTTACAGTGTCTGTAATTGAGAAGGTAGATCCCATATGAAAACAGACTGCTCTGTTATTTTTGATTATACTTTGTTACCTATAAATCCTTGTTATAAAGGCTGTGAATAAAAATGGAAGCCTTTCCTTGGCTGGAAAATGAATGTAGCAGAGGCAGCGCAGGGTTCACCTCGTTTGGGGGCAGGCAGGAATTGAACCAGAGGCCCTGTTACGCACCCAGACCTGTGAGACTCTGGGTTATTCGCACTGCTGCCCCAGCAGCAAGGCTTGCCCTYGCCTTGGTAACAGTTTTAGTGTGTAGGATCCTCTGTAGGATCACACTGAGGGAAAGCAGGARCTTAAGGCTCTCCGCTTCTTACTGACCACAGTGCAAGCTAGCAGGAGTGAAGTGGGAGGACAGCAGGAGAGTTCCATGTGCCAACCACCTTATGACAAGGCACATGAAAAGAGGTGACACGTTTACCAGTTAGAGTCTTTACTCTCTGTGAATATAGGCCTCTGTGTTCCTATGCACTTGTATGACTGTAAATCCACAGTCCTCCTCACACAAAAACATCCTTGGAAAACCATTGCCTCCCTTAATTCGTCTACATCTGTTTAAGTTCTTTCCTACAGATTAAGAGCTACAAAGCTTGCTTACATTTGGGTTTCCATAAAGTACCTAAAAAATAYATATACTGAGGCTGGGGATCTGAAAAGCACCATAATCAGACCTCAAGAGGGCCATAAGCCATTTGTTTTTTTTAATATTTGCAGGATGAAATGTGGAACCCAAAGGGAGGAAAAGACGCTGCCTGCCAACTTTGTGAAGAAGCCCGTGTTCCGAAGCCTGTCTTAGAAAATTTGACARGTGGTATGTTGCTGTTGGTGATGTTAAACATGAGAAGGGATTTCAACTACCATGGGGATAAGTAGTAGGAATGAGTTATAATGACTTTAAATCTGTCTCACCCTAAGTATGCCCAAGTAGTCCTTAGCAGTTCACAGGAACCACATGGTGAGGATATATAAAGTCAACAATCAGTTCACTGAAGTGCAGCTTTAGAATTAATCTGTCGTGATCAATGCAGTTCCCTTCCAGTCTACCAGTGTAATGTAGAGTGAAATATTTTTCCACTACTTGAGTTCTTCCAGCATCTTCCCAGTTGCAAGTCCTTTCTCGCCAGTGATTCAAGTGAGCTGTCAGAATTCACAGAGCGTGAAGAGCAGTGAGGGGCTACACACCCCTCACTGGAGATACGGCTTCAGTTAAGCTCACGCCCTCCAACTATAATGACTTGTGTCAGGATAAAGATCAGCAGCAACACAAGTTCATGTTACTTTCAGAAGAAATTCTTTGGCTGTCTTCAACATTAAGAGTAAACCTGAACTGTTTTTTGCAGTCCTGTGTTTTTTGTTTTTATTTTTTTTCACTTTGATTCCCTTTGTACATCAGCACAGTGAGAGGCCAGATTTCCTCCACCTCAAACATCATGTGATATTCCAATGCTGTAGGTTTAGGTTAAATTCCGACTTTATACATACACTAGTTTAAACAGAAGAGGCACGTGTACATAGGAGAGGGAGATTAATATGGCACTTTAATCCTGATGTGAGCATTCATGTATTTGCATCATGTTTTGGCTCAGTGTCTCCTGATCAAATAATGATATATACGGAAGAGGCAAATGATTCATGTACTGTGTTAAGTTCCAAACAAAGTGATTCCACTACACAGCTATATTATGTTATTTCCATGAATATTCTTTGATACAGCTCTAAGAAACTTAATTCTTTCTTTGATTCTTTACGCATTTTCAAGATTCTTTACAGAAAACAACAATGTCACCAAATCTTAGAAACACTTGTGATGAAAGCAACAGACCTCTCTGTAGAACCTCCTGGAATCAATCTTCGGATGTGAACATGATGTTTTTCCCAGAGAAGGAATCCATAAGCAAAGAAGAGCCAGCACATCAAACAAGAATATTGGGCTGGCTAGAAGAAAACATGAAGGAAGAAGACATCATTAAAAAAGAATTGTGGGAATCTGAGGAAGAAAAAGGTTCACTGTCAAAACAATTACCAGTTCAGTCCCTTGTATCTCCTCATGAAAAGCCACTTGCAGAAATGGGGGACTCACTACTGGACTGTATTATTAAAGAATCCCCCATAAARGACGTATCTTATTTTCTCACTCAACCCCACGGCTCCCTGTATAAGATATATCCAAGTTTTGGTGCCGAGGGACAGTTTTCTGGAGAGGGTAATCTGAACTTGACTGGCAAAACTCCCAGTCCAAAAGGAGATACGGTAAGATTTCTTGTTTCTTGAATAGAGGCTTAAATGATGAAAATACTATTCTCTGATAAAGCTAGTGGTAGTTCTTTAAATTACATGTATGTTTATTGCAGTACCATATCTGTGAGTGCTATGCCTCCCTGATGCGTAAGATGAAAGAGAAGTGTTGAGTATCAAATGCAGGTATTAGAGTCACACCTTAAATTAACTGAGGTCTGAATGAAAGAGGCAATGCATTTTCACCAAGTACCTGTTCAGCTTATGAAAGCCAGCTCTGTTTTTGTAGGCAGTCACTGATCAACAGCTTGACTCTTCAAACACCTGTGGGGAAAGCAACAATAGCTTTTCTTCTGATTCTTTATATGAGAACTTTATGAATAAACCAGCTCTGATGCAGTCAAATAGAGAATTGAAAAGAACTATGAAGAACCATGTAATTCAGTACAAGAAGAGAGGAAGTGCTCACAGAAAGTTTCTAGAGTCTGTAAGATGCTTTTTCCTATTTTTAGTTTTTATTTATCTTTCTTAGCTACAGTTAGCTTGATAAAAAAATAAGTACAGTTAAAAAGATTGTGGTTCAAAATGTACTCCTGTTTATTATTAGCTTTACTATATTATCTAGCAAATTAATTTAAAAAACCCCAACACCCTCTTATACGAAGTGCTATAGGATTCTGACTCTCCCACTCCATCCAAAAGGAGGAGACAGTAGTACTGCATGCAGAATTTATTGCCTTTCTAGCTCTGTTTTCAGTTGAGTAAAATCTCCCTTCTGCCCATCTGCTGGAAATTCAGTAAATACCTTGCTGCACAGAGCATTGAAAGACATTTTTCTTATTGCATTAATGTAAATATTCATCCTACCACATTTTCTACAATTGATTTATCCAATAGTTTAATCTTTTGTTACTGTAGCTTATTTTTTATTATTATTATTACTTGCTTTAAGGTCAGAACTTGCTGCATGTGTAGGATTCATTCCCCTGGAAACAGGTGCAAGGGCTTGTAGGTGTTGGAGGGTAGGCTCCTTTTTTTTTTTTTTTTTTTTTTTTTTTTTTTTTTTTATCATTTTATAGCATGGATTCACAGTTTTCACTGAAGTTAAAGAAGAAATAGTTTGAACAGATGGGACTGATAGACTGAAGGGAGTCACAACTTATTTTGTAATAGTAGAACGATAAAACTGTGCTAGTATTGTAACAGTGTGGGTGAAGCTTATTCAAATTTATTCTCAGCTGCTTTTCTGCTTGCCCTGAATAATTTACTATCAAGTCATGTTAGCTCTAACTATGTCAGAATGTGGTTTTCCCCCTAGGAAGTACCTACAGCTGATAAGAAATCTTTATGTTATCATTCCGAGACATCACTTGCTCCTAAGGCAGAATATAAGCAAGAAGGCGCAAGCGATGAAGTGATCCTCTCCACGCATAAAGCAGGTAGCCCCTGTCTAAGCCCTTACGAAGCATCACCAAATGCATGTAAGACACAGTATTCCAAGTGCCACTTGGAGCAGCTCCCATTTCAGGAGCAAGCTATGAACTTCAGTGGTGACATCAAGCAATTAGAGCAAAGCCAGCAAAAACAAACACAAATGATAGATTTTCAGTGCGATGATACGGTTCTGAAGAAGAAAATTCAAGACAGGGAAAAACTATTGCTTAGGGAAGGGGATTTAGGTCTGGATGAAGTAACTAAGAGAATGAAGCAGAATCAGAAGGAACAGTCAGCTCAAATAATTGATTCTTATTCAGAAAAGATTTCCCAAGAGTCCAATTTAAAAGAATTAGAAATGGAAACTGTTCAGCAACAGCATTTTGAAGAAACTGTAAACAAACTGAAGAAGGATATTGAAGATCTAAGAGAAGGAAAAGGCAAGGTCAGCAAAGAGAAAAATGATGCTAAGAATTGGCTGGTAGTCATGCAGGAAGTTTTATGCAATGCCACAAAACATCTTCAGGAAATTGTTGCTGAAAAAGAAGTTCTTCTGCACCAGGTAGAAGAACTAAAGTGTGCGTATTGTCTCCTGCAAAAGCAGCATGAAACAGAACTGAGGACTAAGTCTAGGACACAGTACTTGGACAGGGACCATACCATATGCAGGAGAGAAGAAAAAATAAGGGAACTTCAGCATCTCAAACAAAAACTGGAACATGAGGCTGAGACTGTCACTTCAGCCCTGCAAGAGCTAAGGGAGGAGAAGGAGAATACAGAGAAAGGGCTTCTATCCTTGCAAACAAAATATCAGGGAAGAAAGGATAGCAGCTTGGCAGAAAGGCAACAGCTGGGATCCAAATACAACCAGCTGGCTGCTCAGCTTAAAATTCTGCAAGCAGAATTTGAAAACGAACAAGCTGAAAGGGAGAAAATGCAACAGCAGCTCTGTGAGTTCAGAATAGAGAACCAAAAGCTGCAGCAACAAAGCGCTAAAGACCAAGAACGAAACCGCATCTTACAGCTTGAAACTGCCAGATGGAAAAAGAAATATGATAAAGTCAGAGAATCACAGATAATCAAGGTATAACTTCAGATCAATACAGCACTGTAAGCATCATAAAAAYCTATAATGAACAGAGTTCCTAGTTGCTATGTACAGCACTGGTAACACTGTTTTAAGACAGGGTGAAATATAAATGTGCATTACCAGCTAAGTCCTACTTAGACACTTCCTGTGGACTTCAGCTGTACTTACCCAGTTCTCTAACAACGGATTAATTTTGACAATGAAACAACTTGCAACTTGCATAAAATGTTGCATAAGTATTAAATCAAAATAATGAAGTGTAACTGTAGTCTGAAGATCAAGATTATATTTACATGTAATAAAACATTCCAAAATAAGTGTAGTCTAACACTACTGAGTCTTCCTCGTGGAAGTCAGATGAGGTGTTGTCTCTCATTCCTTCCTCAAAAAAGTGAACTTCTTTTTGCCTTCTTACTTTATGTTATGTGGAAGCAAGGAAACTTTATATTTCGACCCTTGAGCCATTGTATACAGATAAAAACAGCTATTTTCTCATTCTTTAAACTTGCTGTCTCTGTGCCATCAAGATATTCAGACATGAAATTTGCTTACAGGAGGAAGATTAAGAAAGAAGTAGTAGAATGGAGAAGGCATATTGTGGAGATGTTTCATCTTCTGGTGTTTTAGGTTTTGTGCAATATGTTCTTGGGAAGGGAGTGGAATATAGAAGTAAAAATGCCCAAGTTGTTCCTGTGGTGCAGTTTAGCACCTTACCTCTTTCCTCACTTTTGTGGAAATGTTTAGTTATGCTTTCAGATACCATCTCTTTCTCTCTTAGCTTTTGCTAATGGTAATAGCTTGGTGGTACCAAAAGAAAGGAAAAGGCTCTTTATCCATAATTTTATCCATATCAGTGCATTTACTGAAAAGGGAGGTAGGAAAGAGCAGAATCCTTGCACCATTATTATTTGTGTTTGTTTAAAACAAACACAAATGGGGATGTCCTCATAAATCTAGAGTCTTATGTAGGTGTAAGAGAATAGTATACACTTCATATTCACTGACAGTAGAAAATCCTATTAACTCATAAAAACAGTCACACTCGTATTGGGCCAGGTGTTTTCTAAGTACAATAGGAAGTGAAGAAAGATAGTAAATAGCAGGCTAAACTCAATGGCTAGATGGGAAAGCTCTGGTGAAATCTGAGAAATAAGCGCACCAGGATGAAAGCTGAGAATAACTTTTTGGCTTTCAGTTCACCTAATGATGACTGAAATTGAATGGGAATCCTATATTGCATTTGTCATCTTTTTAACAGGAGTTCTATTTATTACTTTTATTTTTCAGTTGACAAGTTGGAGATCTTAAATCGGGTAAATTTTAATGTTTCCATTTAGGCTGCTACGTCATCCGTGCTTTCTGATTTACCTCAGAAAAAACTGAAGAGTGGAAAAGACTGCCTTAGCACCTTTAACGTGCAGAGAATATCCCAGCTGTTGTCCAAAGTTTGCAGTATTCTGGCTCTGGCAGATGGACATATCATGTGTCAGGTAACACAAAATAGTTCTTGTTCAAAAGCTGTCTACAGAGATCCTAGACGCTGTTTTCAGATCAGTCCAARTGTCAGCATCTGACATTTCCTCTTGCTCTGTTCTCTCAGGATTTCACAATACAGGAGTCTTTAGATCTACCTTAAAACCAAGAGCTTAAAACTTACCTTTACTTCCAGCTGCCTCTCTGATTTTATTCAGCTATGCTGCTTCTACTTTGTTATACATGGGTATAATCTATTGGAAGTGATTTTGGATTGATTCCTCTAAAAGCCATATTTTCTCTCCCTTTGGAAAAGGGTAAGAATTTTAAATGAGGTATTAAATATCTGTTTATCCTGCCTGTCAGCTAATGTTCAGATCCTTCTCCAAAATGAAAGAGAAAAACAAACAAAAAATAATTCCACCCTCAAAAYAGTTTTATATTCAATAAGATCTGGTTCACATTTGTAGTGAGCAAAATCTCAAAATATGCTACCATTTATGGCCACCAAGAGACCAGTTTAGAAAGAGGGAAAAAAAMCCCACAAAAAACAGATGGTCTCATTTCCCTGAGGACAGATTCAGCATGCTCAGAATTACATCACTTACAGCATCTTTATTAGCAGTCTCTGGAGATAGTCCCTGATATTTTAAAAATTAGATAACATGTTTTGGGTGCTTCATCTGCTAATATCACTGATCTTAGGGTCACATCTTAAGTTTCTAAAACTCCTGGCTCATTTAACAGAAATAATAATGTTGTGAGTAAAATCTGAATGAAAGTGCCTACAAGAAAGGGTTAAAAATGGACCATATTGATGACCAAATGAACAACAGTGATGRGCAATCAACACCAGATGCAGTCTGAAGCCCATGGATTACATGGGAGAATCACTCCCCTTGACCTCCTGGCAGTGCTGCTGCTAATAAAACCCAGGATGTGCTTGGCTTTCTCTGCTGCCAGGGCACGTTGCTGCTTCATGGTTAGTTTGAAGTCTACTGGGATTCCACCCATGAGATCCTTCTCAGCAGAGCTGCTCCACAATTAGCCCCTAGTCTGAACTGTGACTAGGGCTTGCTCTTCCTTCCTGTGTGGATGACTTTGCATCTGTCTCTGCTGACTTTCACAAGGGTCCTCTTGGCTCATTTCTCCAGCCTGCCTAGCTGTTTCTGGATGGTAGCCCTGCTACCAAACATTGACTCATTCCTCGTTCCTCCCCCCAATTTGGGGTTATCTACAAACCCTGTAAACAGACGTTCCATTGATAAAATGGAATCCAAATCTTTGATGCAAATATTAGATTGGAAGGTCTCAGGATAGATGTTTGCAGTACTCCACTTGTTACTGGCATCCAGGTGGAATATGAAGCTCYCGAGAGCCACAGGTTATATTACCAGTGAGCTGCTGATTTCCTGTCAAACAGACAGCAATACTTAACCACCTCTGATTAATAAGCTTCCATATCTTCACCCATTCCCTGTTAAAGGGTTGAGGGCCCTGAAGGCAGAGGACACTTAGGATGCAGAAGCCAGCAGGGCTGTGACATACCTCCGGAGGTTGGCCAGTCTTCTGCCAGGATCCAGCAGGTAACCAGGAGCTATGGGGCAAGGTCCTGCACAGTCTGGGGGGTCAGACCTCACAGTGCACAGCCTGGAGCTCAGGCAAGACAAAGCTGACCGTAAGGGACCAGCAAGAGCAGGGCTTATGCACAGGGTAAAATAAGCTAGAAGATGAAGGTGACTCCAGCAGAGGTAGCGCCTCACCAGGCACAGCATAGACTCATAATATCCTAGTAAGGCAAGTGAAGCAGGGGTGGTGACAGCAACAGGCTTGGCTAATAGTCCCAGTGATTAACAAATAGGCAGAAACATGTCAGGTCTAGTCAACAAGTTGGGAACAGGACTAGAGTTGAATTTTCCTACATCATAGCTCACATAGGAGCAGAGGGAGCTTAAATGGAGATCCCAAGCCAGTGAGCACAGGGGAGGGGCTGTGAATCACAGATGTGACTAATCAGGGCAGTTCTAGTGGGGGCATTAAGGAACTTTACAGCTACCCCAGCAGGAATACACTGAAACACAGAATGACTGAGGTTGGAAGGGACCCCTAGAGATCTAGTCCAACCCCCCTGCTCCAGCAGGGACACCCAGAGCACGGGGCACAGGGCGGCATCCAGGCGAGTTCTGAAGATCTCCAGAGAAGGAAACTCCACAACCTCCCTGGGCAGCCTGTGCCAGGGCTCTGGCATCCTCACAGGAAAGAAGTTCTTCCTCACATGGARATGAAACTTACTGTGTTTCAACTTGTACCCATTGCCCCTTGTCATATCACTGTCCACCACTGAGAAGAGTTAGACCCCATCCTCCCTACATTCTCCCCTCAGGTACTTATACATGCTGATAAGATCCTCTCTCAACCYTCTCTTCTCAAGGCTGTGACAGATGTGTTTTTCAAACATATATCCCAAACAGGGAAAAACATAACAGGCAGCAATCTGGCCTAAGATATATGGAAGCTGAATTATGCAAGATTCTGAGCAAAAGATAACCCTGTAACAGCTCATGACTCATAAAGATATAAGGGATCTGTCTGAAAACTAGTTTGTCATTGCCAATGAAGAGAAACCTGAGAGATGTAGTGAGGACTCAATAGCTGTCATTTGTTGTCCTCTATGTTGCACATACCTGCTCCTGGCCAGATTATTTAGACACATGTTTTGGTGTTTGTGAGAATGTGTAAAATAAACTTTTYAAAGGATTTTATGGTATGTCCTGAAGATCCCAGCCACAATGAAACATATCACAGAGTTGCTCAGCGGTGGATAGCCTGCAAAATCATGACATTAAAAATAGTCAGCTCTTTGCGAGATTAATCAGCATGAAACAGACTTTCTTCCATTGCTGCAAATTCTGGGGTTAGGGACAGATGATCTTCAGAGATCCCAACTAACCCCAACTCTTCTCTGATCCTATGATCCACTTTACTCCTTTTCCACAGTATAAAGTGGAATGACTAAGAGTTTATTGTCTCTTCAGTTCCCACTCCTTTTTTTTCTTTTTTTTTTCAATGACGACTCTTAACACTGCCATCTCACAGATGGCTTTCTTCTTTATTAATTATTTCACTCCAAATTGTAGGTACATGTTCTCATACTAGTAAATTTTATTTTTGCTTCTACAGAGTGTAGGCTTAGAATACAATTTTTCTTTTTCATCTAGAGTAGTTAAAGACAGGAGCTTTGAACCAGTATATGACAAACAACACAAGCCTGCTTTGTTAAGTTACATAATATATTCTGTATTTTAATAATCAAAAAGCAAATCTCTGACATATATATATACACATATATATCATGTAGCCTATGTGCTCAGGATCTTTAAGAGAGTGGATGACATTTGTCATAGCTGGGTTTGGTCAAGACACCAGAGATATCCTTCATTTAAATCYGAGGAAAGGCAATGATGAACCCTTCACAAATTTGAGGTCTTTGTTCAAGCAGTTTTTTTTTTCCTATTGTTACTCACTAGGACACAGATTATTTTTCTGTCATTGAACATAACAGGAAGAATGAGGCAATTGTTCAACTGCAAGAAGAAGTGAAGAACCTTACCCTTAAAAAGAAAACCTTGGAGAAAAAGGTAGATCTTCCTGAATGCCTTGGGAATGTACAAATGGCTYCGTGCAGCTTATAAGTAAAAGATTTCATAGTCTAAAAACATACAGCTCTCATTGACCCGCTTTTAGGAATGAAATGACCAAGCAAAAAGCCACCCTTCACCTTTGACATGGCTTACTGACCAGCTTAATATCATTATAGCGCATACCACATTTTGCTTTATTATAGGTTTTGGCATTTATTTAGAATTCCAATTGGACTTTGTGTTCTGTCTGAAAAAAAAGGGGGGGGGAAGAGAGGGAAGGAAAATAGATGCACAAACATAATGCATAAAACAAAACATACAAACAAATGAAGAATAGATTTGTAGTCAGTCTTCAAAGAAAAATTGATGAAATAGGCCTCTGGTTTTGAGGTTGAATACTGTCATAGTGTTACAGCTCTCCTGAAGGATTCTTCTCTGTTAGTATCCAAACGGGTAACTGCCAGCCATACAGGGAAGAGAAATAAATTATGTGGACTGAATCTACAGCTTCTGTACTCTGCAGGCTTTACCTTCCCCTAGGATGTCAGGAGTTTTGAGGTCCGTCACCGCCTCTTAGACCATTTTGGACCAACTGGCTAAAATTTTATGGAGAAAAGCCTAAGTGAGCTGAGGACCACTGAATGGCTAAAGTATAAGTATCATGGCTAAAGGCCATGATCTGAGCAGCTCGTTACATGTAGTAGCTGTGATTCTGCAGCAAGAATATTATAAAATACATACTAGAAAGAGGCTCCACATATAATATATAAAGCATTATTTCCAGTTCAGGGTTTATCATTAAGAGTCTATTCTTAAACTCTGTTATTACAATTGATAGTTTTTGACATGCATAGCATATATAAATTAGTTAAGTCTCAAAATTTTTATCAAAATAAATCTTTAGTTACAGAAGTACATGAAAAGCATAGAAATCACAAGACAATTAATTAATGAAATGAAATCTTTCCAGAATCAAGTTACTGAGGTAAGTTCATCACTGTTTGCAATAAAAAAAATCGAGGTTTGAGGTTGCTTCAATGTTCTGAACATTGTTAAAGTAGCCATTACTACTTATTGTGCTCCCTTTCCCTCTTCCCTCTTGTTGTGTTCATATAGAGTTTTTAAATAATCTGGAAGCTGATTAGGGACCTGAAGTGCAGGAATGTGCTAGTTTTAAATATATATATATACACACATATATGTATGTATGTATGTATGGCTTCTAGCTACTAGCTGGAGAGCTACCTAAGTTCCTTTATATACTGAATTATTTAAGTACATTGTAAGTATAATAATTACATCATAGAATAAGAAAAAAGGTATTTTCAGAACTAGAGGTAAGTTTAATGACAGATACGGATTTTCATTCAATTTTTATTAATGGCACATTTATCTACAGGATTCAGGAGCTGAACATCAGAAACATGGAAATGGTACAAAATTGTCTGATTTGCACAGACCAGAATTAGATAAATATCACAAGCAAAACAACAAGCTTCAGAGCCAGGTGAAAAGACTGCACCTGACTGAAACAAACAACAAAAAACATGAATTCTTGTCATGGATATCTGGCTGCCATATAGTTACAAAGTATCCATTTCTCACACTGTTTGATTAATAATACTCCTTGGGCATTCAGAAACAAGTAAAAATACTACATTTTCTGGCAGTGTGAATTACAGTACACTGAATTTTCTCAGAAGCTAGTACTGTACAAGTAACTTCTTATCCTGAGGAAGTATTAAAGTAATTTTTCTAATATGATAGTCCTGGGAACTGCTGTAAGTGATTAATAAAAGGTTGCAGAAACCACTACTACTTTACATAGAGACTGTCGTTTGCCCTCTGTGTTTTCTCTTGGTGATATTTTTTTTCTATTTGCTAATTGTATGTTTATCACATTATTTATTTATGTTTCTTATTGCTTTCTGAGATTGAAAAACTAAAAAATCATCTGGAGTTAAAGGAGGAAGAATGCAAGAGACTTACAGGAGAAAATGGCAAACTTCATGAAGATTTGAGAAGCATGACACTGAAGGTACAGAACCTTTGAAAACCCCAGGTGGCCAGCTGCACAGACACAGTACTTAAAAACCTACTGTCAGTAAGATTGGATAGCTATATACAACATCTTGTATTATATAGAGGTAATGAATCTTCGATTGCATGAGTTTTTCATCTAACCTCTGAAATGAGAAATGTAAAGCAAAGTCAATGCTTGGCTCAGAAATATAGGAAATTCCTACCTACCTTTCATTTACTTTTCTTTTTTTTCCCTAATAGAAAAGGAGGCTACATAATAACACTGTCTTGATTTGGTATGTGTGGTACTTCATGTAAAACTAAATCCCTTTAAGGCTATTAAGTCAGTCCTTCTGAAATTGGTGGAATTACCTGTTTATGGCAAGTAGAATACAGATCACAGAGCTGACTGGTACCAACAGCCTCCTTTATCCATACAGAAGATATGTATTATTTATACATATATCTATATCTTTACATGTATATGCATGTGTGTTATGTACATATCTCTCTTTTACAGGAATAATCTTTTTTAAATTTTATTTTTAAAGGTAGTATCATATGARAAAATTACAGCACACCCTGATGAAAGGCTTGAGAGTCCCCAGAAACCACAGTAGGTTGACTGATACTGCTATTGATTGTATTCCTTGTTGTGCTTGAACATACGTGTGAATGAAAGAGATGATACTTTCTCCTATCACAGAAGGAGAAAGAAAAAATTTTAACAATTTACAAGGCTATTTTTTTTAGTGGGAAAGCTACTATTACTAGAAAACTTAAGAGCAAGTCATATTTGTTTGATATGCATAACTAATGTAAAAACATAAGCCAGGATCCTCATGCAAGAGAACTTGCTAGAGCAGGACAGCACACAGCACACTGTGAGGGCAGTTCTGTTGAATCTAGGTGTGCAGGATGAGTGCAAACCTTCTATCCTCTCTGTTGTCTGCTAAAGGAGACCAGCCCTTTGGGAGATGTAGAAAGAAACCTCTACTCCATGCCTCAGCTCTTCTATACCATTTTCCATATAAAGTATGTCATTGTGGCTCTGGGCTATGAACTGAAGTCACCAAAGGAGSGGCACATTTTGTTTTGGCTGCTCCGGTGTGAAAGGTACTGCCAGCTCAGCCAGAAGGGCACACACAGAAGGCTGAGCCTGGGACACCAGAGCAGCTCTGGGTGTCTGCATTACAAAATACAATGTGACACAGTGACCTCTGCCTAACCTGAGCTGCAAGCCTAGTGCAGCACCACGCTGAAGCAGCACAGCAACATTCTGGGAGCACTGCAGAGCTTCAAAACAAGCCCTGCTGGATGTTAGCTTATTTGTGGCCACGTTATTTGTGGCCAGTTGTGGCCACTGTACTCTCCCAAAATTCTGGTTGCAAGGAATATTTAGAGAGAGCCATTGCTTGAATGTCTGTGCAGCAAGTGCTTGCCCAGCTTGCACTTGCTTTGCTTGCAGTGGTCCCAAAGACTGCTCTTGTGTTTGGGTTACCTATGACAAGGCACAGGAAAAGGACTGGGGAACTCTCTTTGCTCCCACATTTTGCTCCTAGTTCAAGGTTGCCCAAATTAAGCCTTTTGTAACACTGGTTGTTGATTGAGATGACAGTTACACAGCTTGAAGAATGCAATTTACTTTTACCCRGTAGGTTTTTAATCGTATCTCCCTTCCAAGAGCAGAAAAAAAAATGTTGGCACAAAAGGATGAGGCCKTTTTTATTCCCTAATGTAAATAAATAATTGTTACTAATGCCATTCTACCTTAGCTATTTGGCAGATTTATGCCATTAGGCTATAATTTCTCTCTTTACTGAAATTCTTAACTCTGATTAAGCAATCACTGTTAGCAATGACAGAAGTTACCTTGATTGTCTTTTGCTTTCTTTCTCTTCCTTCCATTTCTCACAAACATGTCTAAAATAGGCTCTTGGAACACATCATTTTTCAGAATATTTTTGACAGGTTAATCCTTAGATAGGTATCCCTCTTCCAGATAAAACACAGAATCTGGAGGTCTTTAAGAGGATTTCCTTCCTTGAATTTAAAATGGGTGACTTTCAAAGAACCCTCAGAAATCTATGAAAACCCTAGCAGATCTCACTAAGAGCTGCTGTATACTTGTTTTATCTCCTTTGCTACTACCCAGCTGGAAGCAGCAGAGAGGATTCCCATGGCTTCAGCTTGCAATATGAGCACTTGCTCATATATATATACACACACATATATGTTTGTATAAAATTGGAGAAAGAGCCATACCTGGGGCACTCACAGTACAAAACAGTAAAATAAATAAACCATGGGAAAGGAAAATGAGACAGCGACCGGAAAAGTTATTTGCTGAAATTCTCACACAAGAAACAAACCAAGGACAGATTTGGTATCTAAAACCAAGTCTGTTAATTTGAGGCCATAGGTCCTGTCTCTTTGCTTGTTTCAGCTTAATTTAAGCATTGCAATTCTCTCTTAAATTCTGCTTTTCATGGAAAAAATATGCATATAAAATTTGTCATGGAAATATTGCTTAAAACCTGTTAGTGGGGGAAAGAAATATAGTTATATTTCAACTTAACTCATATATGCATTTCACCAATACACCTTTGCTTTACTTGGGCTCTTTGAGTCCCTCAGACAACTGACACACTGAGTTGAGATGTTCCCTGAGAACCGTCTGCTACATTTCTCAGATACATAATTCTGGGAAGAGATAACAATACTCATCACAAAGCTCTCTTGATTTCAGCAGTCAGAACAGAATTGCAGAAAGATACCAAGTCTCTACCAACTAGACACCAGGAAGTTTTATAACTTTTGCCACTGTTTCTTAAAAATAGTAAATWTTTTTCTTATCTTTTAGCCTATGGAAAAAAAAAAAAAAAAAGAAGTCCTACTGAAGTCAATGGGCTGCTTTTTTGTTTGCTGGATAAAGGGGTTACTAATCAAAACCACTGCACTGAAGTGAACCTAATGGTAACAGGGAAGCAGTGCATGGTTACACCCAGAAGTATGTATAGCTATAGCGAAGTCTGGAGAAAAATAACTGAGCTAAAAAATGTTTTGCTAGAGATTCAAGGAAAACTCAGGGAACAAAAAGTAAGGGAAAAAAAGTACCTCCTGAATTTACCATCAATGTTTCCCCCCAAACTACAAACAAGGTCTCTCTTCTGGTCAAATTACATTTTAGCCAGCTTTGTCTTTGCACATTCCAGGATACCATCCAAAGCTGAAAAAAAGGAAGCAGTTAGATTGGCACTGCGTGTAAGGCACCAATTCTAGCTTTGCTTTTTGTAGTACGTCAGCATAGCGGTTTTGATAAATCAGTCTCTCATAGAAGCCACATAGTACATGCTGAAGACAGACTCCAATAGGTTTGTAAGCGCTTTGTCGTGACTAACACAAATATTAAGGTGGCAACACAAACTACATATATAGATCTATCTCTATGTGTATATAAACTGCTGTCTGTCTTTTACTGATAGCTTAGAAAAAAGAAGAACACACCTGGGAGAGTCATTTAAGAAGTTCAAAATGAAAACTGAAAAACTGAGGTAAGTATTAGTTATAGTCCTAACAGCCTGGCCTACAGGCCAGAAAAGATGGTATTAAAAATGCTCACTCTTTTTAGAATGTATGTAATGACACTGAAGGCCCTTTCCCTAACAATTCTAGCTGTAAACACAATTGAAAATATTTTTAAATGCAAGGATACAGTGCTCGTACACAATAGGAAATACTGGTGGGAATCGCCAGTGTTCCTTCCATTCCTCTCAGGATTYGCACCCAACATGAGATATGTCAGATGGGAAAGTTGCAGTCACTGTCAGAACGYAGCTATGTCTGTGAGCAGACGCACAGAGCAGTCTGTGCAAAATCCTCTCCACAGATTGCTTCACTCAATTGTTTAGACTTTCCTTTTGGATTGTAAGTTGCTCATATGGGCAGAATACAGATAGTATATAAGGGAGCCATGGCCTAAAAGCTGTGCTTTTTGGCACAGATACAATATTGCAGTTTGAGACTCGGGCRTTTCCTAAGACTAGTCGAGGTATCTCAGTATTTTGCAAACCCTTTCACTTAACACCTTCCCCTGCCACCACCTCATGCAAACTCAGTGGGAGGGCGAAGGAAAGCAAACTAGCAACACSGGGACCAGCTCACACAGGTGGAAAGGCAGCGAGTAGTATTTGTAGTCAGAGAACTATAAACGTAGGTAGGCACAGAACACATATAAAACCTTTTGTGGCATCCTAGTGCTCCCTCTCACATATCCTCCAGGCAAAAGTTTTGGTTGTTTTTCCAAAAGCATGACTCAGGTAAGTCACACATGCTTGACCACAGATTAATTATTCAGTTAGGAGAAAGGGGGGGGGGGGGGGGGAACTTCTGCAGAGGGAAAAAAATAGACCCCTGGATAGATATTTTCTCTCTTGAAATAACACTACTAGGGAGTCACAGCTATTCTGCAGTTTTCATGATCATGCTTTGTCTTCACTCAATACTTAATAACATTTAATAACAGCATTAGCATGTTAAAAATAGGGGAGAGACAGAACTACAGAAGGCAGCTTTTCATTTTATTTTTTTTTAATTTGCAGATTCAAGASGTTCAAAGTCAAATGAATGAAAATAATATGGAAAATGGCCCACAAAGGAAAGATGCCCCTTACCACAAGCGTGGCTACGTACAAATAACGAATAAAGGTTACCGCGGAACACAGCTCGGCACCGGGAAGCGCSGCGACGGGCCCGGGCCGCGGGCTGCCCCTCACCGAGCGCAGGCCCCGCCCCCACCGCCGGCCGCCCCGCCCCTCCGCGCCAAACCGAACGTGTCGCTCCCAGCAGCGCCGCATGCGCACTCGCGCCCGGGCTGGTGCGGCGCATGCGCGCGGGGCGGCCGGCGCCGCGTGTGCAGGGCACGTGACCTCCCCGCCTCTCCCCGGCGGAGCCACGTCCTCGCGGGCGGGCGGCGGGGGCGGGGCGCGGCCGCGTGCCCGGATGGAGGGCACCGCCATTTAGGCAGCGGCGAGCGGCGGGCGTGGGGCCGCCTGCGGTGCTGCGTCCTTGCTGCCATGGGGCGCCCGTCGCAGCTGCTCGTGCTCGCGCTGCTGCTCCTCTTCCCCGCCGCGCTGCTACGCGGCGGCGCTCGCCGCGGGCCAGGTGCGGGGGCGCGCGCGGGGGGAGGCGGGCGAACGAGCGAGCCCCGCGGCCGTTGCTGCTCGCGGTTCGAATGGCGGGGCACGATAACGGTCGCTCCGTGTGCGCGCAGCGGGCCCGGCCCGGGCCGCCCCGCCCSCTGTCGGGCCGCGGGAGCGGCGGGCGCTGCTCCCTGACCGCGCCAGCGCCGCGCTCGGCCCCCGCGCTCCCGGCTCGTGTGCGCGGGGCTGGCGCGCCGCCCGCGCCCCTTCCTGCGGCGGCCGCGGCTCCCGGGAGCTCTCCGCGCCCTTACGGGGAGCGGGCCGCGCTGCGGCTCTGAGGGGGGCCTCGACATGTCACCCCTGGGGCGGCGGCGGCCGCGCTCGAGGGGTTGTTGAGCCGCAGGGCCCTGCGGTGGCGACGGCCSCGGCCCGGCGGGTGGAAGAAACGTGGCGTGGAGCAGGGCCCTGCTGCCGCCCGCGGCGCTGGTGGCAGACGGGCCCCAGGAACCCGCGGGCTCGGTTGTGTGTGTGCCCTCCCCTCCGGAAAAAAAAAAAAAGTAAAAAAAAAACCAAAACCCTAAGAGAGCAACCACGGCAGCAACAGTTTTGTCTTTGCTCTCCTGCTCTCATGTGTCTCAGGGTTCTGCAGTGAATGGCCAGCAAATTGATCCACTGCTGGCCTTCATCTGTGCCTTGTGCCCTGGCCCCTCTAAGTGCCCTTCAAACAGTGCGGGGCTAATCTCTGTTTGCACTGCAGCTTTGTGTGGTTCCCCATCTCGAAGGTGCCCCCGCTAAGCAGGGAATTGAAGGGCGACCATCTCGCCCAGCCAGCGAGCTGCTGCTCGTGCTGTGGGGTGGGAGAAGCTTTTCTGTCCCAGTCTTGCCACATCAGCAGCCCTTCTGACATCCCCTGGAAGAATCGTAGCTTAGCCATCTACGAGACTGGGCTGCTGCTTGTGGAGCCCATGTATAACATACTAGCAGTCTGTTCAGGTGTAAGGATTTTGACTTAAAATGTGTTATTTGTTGGTTATTTATTTTAAAAAAAACTTCAAAAAATTAAATCACTGCAGTTAGGCCTAGGTTAAGTTTTGCATATATGTGTGTAAAAATTTTTTGAGAGTACTTTCTGAAGATATTTCAGAGGGGTATTGTGCTTGGCAGTTTTATTTATTTAGTTTTAATTTAGCCACACCTGATAATAGTTAGAATTTCCATGATAAAATGGTCCTGCTTCAGAATTTTTGTGTGAAAGCTGTGTATTCTGTGTGAATTGTTTAAAATCAGTACATGTAGCAATTGTATATTTGTGATGTTTGTATAAATGTAGCTTTCATTCATTTCCACTATTTTCAGTTTTGGAAGAGATTAGCTTCATCGATTTGTAGGCCTGTGTATACAGTAAGATTTCTCTGCCTGGCTTGCAYGTGCTCTCAGCTACAAACAGGCAAAGCTTCATGCTGCAGCCAGTATTTGAATTAATTATATCTGACCACTGCTTGAATATATAAGGCTCGAGATCATAGAAGCAGAGAAGCCCCGAAGCCATCTCTTGGAYGTGCTTCTCTTGGAGCCTTGCTCAAGATTCAGATTTCTAACACCCAGTTTTGTTGAAYGTCAGTAAACAGTAAATCCTAGTGAGAAGGTAATAGAAACAGAATTTTTCTTTACTATAATAATTTGAATAAAAAGGTTTGTAGAACTAACAATTTTATAAATACACAGGAAAATGTAGTGTTCCGACACCACGAGAGGAATGATGTGCTAATCACTTAATACAGTTAGAAGCAAAGTTTGCTAAATAAGTTTTTTGGCTAGTAGAATTATTCTTTATTTTCAGGTTTTTAATGACAATAAAATTAAAATATTTTAATACATGGACAATTTAAATCTTTTTTGCAGGTTAAGCTTTGCCATGTGAATGTTGAACTTTTATCCAGATACTAATTTTTGTTTTTAAACTTACTGTCTTATATAGGAGTAGTTAGGAAAAAGATTTAAGCAGATCAACACAGTCAGTTGAATCTGAGCTTTCTGCAGCTGAATCTTTGAAGTACTGCATTCAATTAATTTTTAGGCAATTCTTCAAGCCTAATAGCTTGAAAATCATACTACAGTGTTAACTTTCTGTTGGACAACTAGGCATGAAAAAACATTGTTTGTTTTTACGTTTTGTTTTGGTAGGTGCTGGTTTACTTGTTGCAGCTCAAGATGCTACAGAAGATGAGGAAGCTGTGGAAGATACTGTAGTTGAAGATGAAGATGATGAAGCAGAAGTTGAAGAAGATGAGCCTACAGACTTGGTAATTGGGCATGAATGTTACTTCAGAAGTGTGACTTAGAGCAAAAGTGCTTGAAGCTAGATAGCTTAGGTGTATATAGGTTTTCATTTGCGGGTACCTGGAAATCTTTCTCGAAGTCCCCAATTAAACTTGAGCTCCATTTGAAGTTTCAAAACAATCTTTCTTTTCTTTTTGAATCAGCAGTGGAAAGACTGCATGGGGGGATAGCTAAGCTTCCAGTGACAAAAACTGCAGTCCAGAAAAAAGCACAAAGTAGGGTAAGTAAGTCTCATCAAAGCTCTTAGTGTTCTCTTAGGTCCATCTCAGTAAACTGAGAATTGCTTTGAGTAGAAGGCTGCTTCATAGTGGCTACTTTTATATTAGTGTGCAAGAGGATACAAWCTTTGTAGTATAAATCTGTCTTGGATTTATTAAGTGAAGTTCTTCAGCAATGCTGAAAAACATATTTTSCAGCCTGCTTTCACTTGACTGCGTTCAGTATCTGTAACTCTTATTGCAGGGTATGCTTGTTAAACGTGGTTATATTGCCCTTTTGAGTCCTTTTCTTCAGGCTGATTAAATAAGTTTAAGGCATGACCCGGAGGAGAAAACAGAATTTAAACTATGTGTGATTAAAAAATAAAGAACGAGTAAACTGTTCTTGTAAGCTAATTAGGCTGATGTTTGGTTACTGATATGAAGTTGAACTTATGGTTGACTGGATTTTCCAAGTGTTAGAAGATGTGGTAGGTATTCAGTACTGCTAGAATTTATTAAGTAAATGTAATTTGTTTTTAAAGCATGATGTAAGACAAAGGGAGGTACAAAGTGGTTACTGTTAGGCAGTTGATTTTATCTGTTGCTGAAACAAGGTACAGCTTTGCATAGTGTCTATACTTTAAGATGCCAGGCTCAGCTGTGCTGGGCAAGATGCTTCCCTTGCCCATGGTACATATGCAGCTGATCCAGGTGAGTATCCACTGTTTAAAGTGGTGGTTTTGGCAAGTAGGAAATCAAATGATCTAACCAACTTGCAAGCAGCATCTTTAGGAAGCTGTTCAAAATGGGGTCATCCATGCATTTACTCATGATGGGGAAAACCATCTCCATGTGTAAAATAAGCCCTTAATACTTGTATTTGCCCAGTGAATAAAAAGCTGCTGTAAATACTTYGCCCTGCACAGTGGAAATAACTTGGTTGCCTCACAGCTGTTTGCTACTTTAAAAATGCTTATTTTAATATATTGACTTAAACATTTAATACTTAGATTCTTCCCTTTTCCTTCCACTCCAAAAAAGAAATTTTATTGTGGTTTTCTGATTGGAAACCTTTCAGTAGAGATCAGTCCTTGTGAAACCTAACAGAGGGATAAATGCTGAAAAAGGTGCTAATCAACTTTAAATGGAGTTTCTAAATTTTAAACCTGCAACAGCAGAAATCTATGCTAATGCTTACTGTCATAGTACATTTTGTCACTCTTACTTGTTAGGCAGGCTTTTTATAAAACAAGCATAGTCTTTGCATCRCTGTTTATAGGCTATTTCAAAAAAATCTCTTGTCCTAGACAGAAGAAAAAGAGGAAGAAGACTTGTCAGGTGAACCTAAAGCCTCACCTAGTGCTGATACAACCATCTTATTTGTGAAAGGTGAAGGTAAGAGTCCTGTGCCCATCTGCCATTAGCTTCCCTATCGCTGCTTAAAACATATCAATATATGCATGAARCAATGAAACTCCAAAATACCTAATCTTTTTCAAGTATTTGGTGTTGAAAAACTAGGGTTAGATGTGATGTGTGAAGTTGCTAATAGTTGGATATTTTTATGTTCTAGACTTTCCAGCAAACAACATCGTAAAATTTCTGGTGGGCTTCACCAATAAGGGCACAGAGGATTTTATTGTTGAGTCACTTGATGCTTCTTTCCGTTACCCTCAAGACTACCAGTTTTATATCCAGAACTTCACAGCTCTCCCACTGAATACAGTAGTTCCACCACAGAGACAAGCCACATTTGAGTACTCCTTCATCCCAGCTGAGCCAATGGGTGGTCGTCCTTTTGGACTAGTTATCAATCTGAACTACAGAGATGTAAACGTAAGCCTCATGTTGTCATTCTCCTTCTTGGTTGATGTGGCAATATCAGGAAGGAATTGCTTAGTCAAGTTAATGCTTGTTCAGACCGTAAATGCCTTTAGTTTTTTTAGCAAATCAATAAATGTATAAGTAACACAACTGTGTTTCACAGCAGTCCTTTATATATGTGGAGGAGTGCTGTGTATGTTAGACTTGACCTTACTTTCACAGTGGAAGCTAAATTGCCTTAGAATTATATAAAAGTGGTTGTGCACACTTAAAGCTAGAACTTTCTCTAGGATACTGTAAACTTCACTGTACTCTTCACTGGGGTTTTAACAAACTCAGTGCTCCTGAATCCACCCCTAAATATGGGACYGGCACATTTAGCTGGGAGAAGAAATTCTCCAAAAGTATAAAATGAGATTCTTTTTTATTTCAGTGTSGGCTAAAGTGTAAGACTTCTGTGTAGTGTTCAAAGTGTTTTGAGATAATAAAATTGTTTGGCATATAACTTACTCTACAGAAAATCTCTTCAAGGCCAGATAGGACTTTCTGGTTAATATCAAGGCTTTCCTTTTACTTGTACAAAAATTTGTTCAAGAAATTGATTGAAAATATAGGATAACTTTTTTACAGGGCAATGTGTTCCAAGATGCTGTCTTCAATCAAACGGTTACAATTATTGAGAAAGAAGATGGGCTGGATGGAGAAACGTAAGTAAACTGGAGATTGAAAATTAGTTGATACACTGGTAGAAGCAATTATTGGYGGGGTCAGTGAAGACTGTTCTTGTATCTTCATTTTATTGGATGCCAGATGTAATCAGTCTGGGTCTTGCTGATGGCACTGGACTTGTATATACTCAGAACCTTGATATACTGAAAACCTGAGCTTTTTGCCTTCAAACTAAATTCTGTGTCAGTGTTGGCAGTCTTCAGGAYTGATACTGTATTAACAGTTCATGCAGATGTTTTGCCAAGCCTGGAATAGCTCATAATGCTACATAAATATATACAGCAATACAAACCAGTCAAGCTTTTGTTATCTTTTTTCTCTCTRTAATTCGGAGAGTATTAGGCTGGAGTAACAGGCTTCTGGAGCACTGCTGTGTAATCCAAGATAATGTCAACTGAAAGATTCCTTCTCAGTATGAGATAGGGGAACTTATTCTTTGTTGCACTTCCTCTATGGGAAGCAAATCTTTTTCATGAATGTTGGTCTGTCTTAAAGATGTAGTTAATATGCTTACAATGCACAAGGTCTGCCATGTGTTAAATCTTCAGAAATACTGAACTGACAGCTTCTCTTAAAATCCCAATTCAATATTGCAATATATAAAGWTATATTATTACAAGAGAAGCTGTCAGTTCAGTATTTCTGAAAATTTATTTTTTGAAGACAATATTTGAATTCTCCTGCTATAGGTAGTTTTCTGCTGAACAAACTTTTTWAAAAAAGGGCAACCAAAGGAAATAACTGTTGCATTAATTCATATTTGCAAAATGGAATAGCATCAATGAAAGCAACTGATCATCTGAATGTGTGTTATCCTAGTAATAAAGGAGCTCTTGTAAGAATTCAAATTTATCAGGTGGGACCAAATTGAATTAATGTCCTGTGAATGGGCACTTTCCATAAAATGGGGGTGTTGATTTAAGTCTCTGCGGCAATTTAACTCCTTAGTTTCTCTTGTAAATCTGAATTAAAATGCTGTAGTAGCATCCTTATCTCACAGAAGTCCTGCCTGCTCCTAAAACTTTAGATTGAATTTGTGTGCATGTACTGCTAATTATCATCAGACTTTACAGATGGAATTCTTGTCAATGAAATTAATGCTTTTTTGTCTTAAGGAATTCTAATTGTGGAATACAGAACTAGATGACTTAAGGCAAGAGTTTTCAACACTGTTGCCAAAAATATGTGTATCCTGGCAATATTAGCCTTGTATTAGCATACTAAAAGTATATCATGGAATTGAAAGCACACACATGTAAATACTAACCTATTACCCAACAGCTTGAAATATGGTGTTTCAAAAGAGTCTATACAGGTAATAAATTTCAATAGTTACTAGTTTATACACTTTGAGCATATGTGACACTACTCAAATGTTCTGCAGTTTGAAATTAAATTTGAGAATACAATTCCTTAAAAGGAGAATAACTCAATATTTATTAGTTTCAGGTTCTTTAGATCCTGTCTCTCCCTTATCTCTGCACATGGCTTGGGAAAGGTGAAGCAGGCATGTGGCCAAAGCAAGGCTTACTTGCTCAGCCTGTTTATAAACTTGTAAATGCTTCAGATTAACGGTTTCTTATTTTTTTCTTAAAGAATCTTCATGTACATGTTCCTTGCTGGACTTGGTCTGCTTGTCATTGTTGGCCTACATCAATTGTTAGAATCCAGAAAGGTAGGTAATGTGTGGTGTCTTTTCCTCTTGTCTACTTCATAAACGTAACAGTCAGTATGAAGTAAAGTATGAAGTAAGTAAAGTATGAAAACAATCTTGTAAATCACTTCTAGCCTAGGATGGTACAGATAGAACTTCACAAATTTTACTTTAACAAGACAGATCTTGAAAATACTTGGAAAAGCTAGTGACCGTTTTTATTATTTGTTTTTACGACATTTAGACTGCTTGTCTGATGCTCTGTGGGTATGTTATTTTCCATTGTACTAAAGCAGTTGAATTGAAGATTTTGACATGTTTTCCAAATGCTGGATGTTCAGCTGCTGGTTTGATACAGGGTACACTTTTCTTATCCTGTATTCTAAATTATGCATCTGTTGTGTTAAACTAGATCAAGCTTCAGGAAGAAAAAATCTGTCTAGTACTTTTAGTACTTAGCAGTATTTAGTGCTTAACAGTATTACTAGGTTTGTGGCCTTCTGTATTCTTCTGTAATATTGTAACAGTTAAGGGTTGGTTAGTATAACTGTTCTAGCAGGTATAGGTCATGGAAAAAAATTGGATCTTATCTGCATGGCAAAATGGGCTAAAATGGTGTCTTTGTAGCTGAGCATTTCCCTTGGGAAAAAGTATGAAGTAACTGTGGATCTATGAACTCCATCTTGCAGGCTGAAACTCAAACACGAATAGTGCTAATCTGATAAAGTACAAGAGAATGGCTCCYTCGTTCCCCACCCCCCCACAACAGGCATAATGAGCTTGCCCAGGAATGCATAAGTTCTTCGTATCATGTGTGTAATTAGTATTACAAGCAATTATAAGTAGGTGTTAGTGTCAGGTAATGTGTAAAGATAGCTAAAGCTAAGCTAGAAAGATAGCTTGATACAAGAGCTAACCATTATGTGGAAGACAATATCTTCTGTTCTTGACTTTTCAGAGGAAGAGACCAGTACAGAAAGTAGAGATGGGAACATCAAATCAGAATGATGTTGACATGAGTTGGATTCCTCAAGAAACTTTAAATCAAATCAGTAAGTAACCCACCTTCCGTAATTGGAGCACAATAAACCTATTAAACATCTAAATAGCTCATGCTAAATTCTCACAACAGGATACATCTGGCGAATAAAATTGTCTAAAGCACTGTATTTAGTTAACCGCCCATTCTTGTATGTRGCAGACTTTGGTTGATACAGCTGGTGCAATAACGGCTATCACAGTGATCTTACACTTTCTGTAGGCCCTTTCAGCTGTATAAAGCCAGTGTCACAAAAGGCTTAAATGGTGGGGGAGAGTATCCTATGAAGGCAAGATGTTTGGAAGCTGGCCTGTAGGCTGAACCTTTAAGCATTAGAAGTGTGAGACCCTGTCTTGAAGCTACCYTAAGACCTGGATCATGATGTCTTTCACAAGTCCAAAATAACCAAATTCTCCTCAGTATTTGACCTCCTTAGAACAGCTCTGCGTGGTTATTTCTAACTTCTGTTGCTCTTTCTTCTGTTTTGCTTTCCCATGGCTTCAGTGCAAAGTAGAAGAGGTGAGAAACTCTMAAGCTTTAAAGAGTGGAAATTACTGATGTGTGTCTGTGTGATAACTAAGCATAGAGTTCAGACTTCTTGCATGCAGTAAYTGATGACGTAGCATGAACAGTAGCTAATTAGGCAAGTGCATGTGTGCTTATATATGCATATATAATATTCATATATGCCCACATAAAACTAATAATTTCTAGTTACATTCCAGTAGAGTAGCCTAGCTGTTATACACTAGTGAGATACTCTGGTCTGCTCTAACAGTGTCTAGAACCATTTACCTAAAATACAGATGTGCGCATCTTTGTCCTCCACATCACCTTGGTATAATCTCATGCTGCAGATAATGATGGACCTGGAGGGCTGTGACCTGAGCACATCTTTTTTCAGTGGAGCATACAACCAACCTCAACTTGGAGTCTCATAGTTTAATAGTGAAGCTTGTTTATTCAGATCTCCTTATCCTAGATAAACTTCCATCACCAGGACACTGTCTTGCAGTCCAGATAAAAAAAAAAAGTACTTTGAAAACACTTTGCAGGAATACATAATTTTGAAAGACTCCTGTTTTGATGAAATAAGCATATTCTTAGTGACCTTTCTTCTTGTAGAAGCCTAGGGGGCCCTAGGTCTGACATCAGACTGTGTGAAGAGAGCTGACAACTTCACATTTTTCTTTTATGCCTCTTTCCTTTAGCTATTATTTATATTATACTAGATGTAAGCACTTAGGTTTCATTTCTGAGAACATAAGCTTTCTCCTGGATACTCTCTTTTTGTGTGTGTGATAGTCTTATAAAARCTTAGTCTAGCAAGAACTGAGTGAAGCTCTCTAAATGTTATATTTCTCTGTAGAATAAGCTGAATTTCAAGTTAAAATTCTGATAATATTTGAATTTTACTTCCCCACCTCTTTGAGCTGATATGTATTCAAATTTCAGTACTTGAGATCTAGGAAAAAATGAAGCTKTACACCTTTTCCTTAACTGTTTTGCTTTAATTCTAGGTTAGTTTTCATTGAAAATCTGTACTAGTGTCATTTGAAACATGATACATGGCCTTCAGGGGCCTCAGATTTTGTACTCTTTAGTTGTCAAAAAGTCTTCATACTTTGATATTTGCAACAGCATGGTGGTTGCTTGTTGCACTTATTACTCGAAGTAGTGACCAAATTTTTTTGTAAGTTTGGTAATGTCTAAGGGTGAAACCTCCTTTAAGCGGCAGAGCTTGCAGCATCAGCAGGATATGGTGCGGGTTTTTGGTATAGTAACYGGCCAGTTCAACAGACTCAACTCTGAAGCTACATGTGGGAGAGTAAGAGCACTTTTTCCTTACCTTCTGTTTAGAATTTCAGTATTTAAAAAGCATTATCTACTTGTTGAAACCATCTTCTGTGGGGTTATGTCAGTTTAGTCTGTTTGTGGGAGGGAGAGAAGTGCAAACTGTCATATAACATTTAATTTAAAATAGCTCTAGCAATTGATTCTCTTTTTGTTAATACAGATAAAGCTTCGCCAAGGCGGTTGCCCCGCAAGAGGGCACAGAAGAGATCGGTGGGATCTGATGAGTAAATGTTAAATTGTGCAACAGTTCAACCTTTACTAATCCTGCCTGTTTGGATGTTTTGGATTGGAGTAGTGCAGAGAGTCCATGCCACCATAAGGAAAATACTGCTATACATTTGGACTGAACAGATTAACTGAATGGTGTTAATATTACTGAAAATGCACTTCTTTTTTTTGTTAATTGTTGGGGGAGGGGAGGTAGCCATTAAGATTTGTGCCTGTGTGTGTAAGCAGTTGGTCTTAACAAAATCATACTACCTGAAATGTGCCTTTAGAGTTCTTTGTAATACTTCTCATGTGTGTGCTGTCTCTGAGGGATTTTCCCCTCCTGTTTACCCCAGTCTGAATGTGTAGTGACTTCATCTGTCTTGATTGTATACTGCCTGTATGCATCTTTCTCTGCAGAGGTTTCTCTGCAGCACACATACTGAAGCTGATGTGTGCAGCCCTACTTCAGTGCTAAAACACTGATTATCTAGATTTCTGTATAATGAGCATTCTAAAGGCACAATTGGGTATAGCTGCTTGTAGCAGTAGACATATTGCTGCTGTTTTGATCTGGGCATGCAGTGAGCTCAATCTGAATTTATCTCCATAAATGTTAGGAGGACTCTTATACAGCAGCAGAACTTGTGAAGCATGGATTTTTTGTGCTGAATTGGTATTACTACATAAATTTTTTTTACCCAACTTGTTAATTGACTAGTTATTCAGTCATGCCAGCAGCTTAGGTATTCTGACTGTAGTGGTATTTGGAATGTATGCTCAAAAATTACTGAATATGCTACAACCAACTTCAGTAAGTTCTTGGTTCTCAAACTAGAATGTCATCTGTATCAAGACATATGGACTTTTCTTACAAAGCTTTGCATGGGGAAGGACTTTAGATTTACTGCGCACAATTGAAACATTTTGAAAAGGTTTTGCTTCAAGTAATCAAACTGGAAAGGGTGAATAAGTAGTTTCTTGGTCATTTTTTTACCTCAGACTTGTATCAGTCCAAGTTGAGCTTTTGTCATCCTGTCTTTCCTGTTAGTAACACAGATACAATTTTGTTACTAAATGTGTGCTCAGCACTAAGCAGAAAAATTATACATAATCCAAATGGGCTTCTCTGGTGGCAGGCACTGCATATATGATTACCAGGATCTGAGGTGGTGTTCTTACCCCTTTGAATTTAGGGGGGTAACTTTGATAGTAAAAGRAACAGATTTTGCCAAGACCCAATTTGCTGTCATTCAGGCACTTGAACAAAACTGAAGTGTTTACATTACATATGCACGTTCTCCCATGTCTAAAGGTTTGGGACCTATCTTAAGGCTTCTTCAGTTTAGAAAACTCACTGATTTGAGACTTCTGTCTTTTTTTCTTCCCCTTCCTGATCTCCTCTGTGTAAAAGTGCTCTTTTTGATCTATACTTGTTCTGCAGGGACTGAGCATCTGAGCCAATGAGAGTTGAGCAATACCTGCAACTCATGTCCCCATACTGTGTTTGAAGCAGTGTCTAAGGTCTGAAGCTACCTGTACTGCCACTCTTACTGTACAGATCCCCATGAAGAAAATGTAAAGACATTTCATCACTTGTGATGGAATATAAGAATGGGAAGAGCAACCTCAGTGATGCTCTGTTTAATGCGCTGATAACATAGCTCAGGCAGAACAGTATAGTTGCATCCAGATTGTTGGATCATCATATATAGGACTTGGCAAACTATTGGATGATAGTTTCAGTACAGGTGACTAGCAAACTTCATGCGACAGCTTTGCCTCAAATGATGTGATCTGGCTCTGTGGTAGATTTGTTGTTCTAACTTGCATTAATTCACTAAAATGTATTAAGTTGTGCTGCACTAAAGTATACCTGTTGTTGTGGTGAATATCTAAAGTAGAGAGACATCTGCCCTTTCTGGGCAAATTATGTAGCCTGCCCAAAATAAGGTGTTGAAACCTCTTCATACCTGAAATCAGGAGACTTGGAAAAGTGTTCTTCCTTCAGGTGGTGATAATGAAAGCTTCTCTAGATTCAATGGTACCCTACAAAAAAGGCAAAGTATTACTACAAAGTAGTAGTCTAGAATATCTTGAAATATCCACTTTAATTCCCTCAAATATATGAAAGTTTAGTTCATAGTGATTTTTAGCTTCTGGAGCAAGTTGGTCTTTTAAAAGATGCTGACTACAAACTCCAGTGAAGAATTTGAATGTAAGACTGAAGCACTGTGCAAGACTGAAGCACTGTGCAAATAAGAATTAGAAATAACAATATTTTGAAGGTACTGGCTTGCTTTTCCTTTCCACCCAGTAGTTAAGATCTGATTACTCAAGCCCTAAGTGTGAAGGAAGAGAGGAGACAGTTTGGCAGATTTGTGTAGGTATTAGTAATTCAAAAGTACAGTAGTAACAAGTTGTCTTTCAGGTCCTACAACTTTACATAATGTACATTGAATGGTTAATAGGAACTTTCTTAGCGAGAATTTGTTAGTTCATAGGAACTCTTGACCATCAGTCCAGTGCTTCTCAGGATAAATGAAGTAATGGTTTTAAATTCCTTACTTCATCTTACTCTGCTTTGGCTGGAAATCAGCGATAACACTAGTGTGTAGTAGCCATTGAACTTTAGCATCTCTTCCATTCTCTTTACTTTCTAAGCCAGTTCACTACATCTGGATTTTTCAAGTGGGGAAAACATGGCTATTTTATGCTGTAGGTTACGTAACATTCACTTCAATATTTGGATTTTTACATGTTTTTAAGGACTGCCTATACAGGTGGTTTAGAATCAGAGATATTTATTGGCTGTCATTATTGAGTAGTTTGTAGTTTCATTCACCTAAAGATGGAACAAGTTAGCAATCCTGCCTGTTGCTGCTGTTAGTTTTTTCCCCCCCGTGAGAGTACAAGCATTTCTGTAATCTAGGACTCTTACCAGCCTGTTTTTCTGCTAGTTTACCAAGCAGCACCTCGTAGGAAATTGCAAGAGGAGGAGCCAGGGCTCAAATGTTGCTAGAGTTTCTGCTGTTTTGCTGTAAGGGCTGCTAAGGAAGGGTGTTAAGCTGTCARTGAAACTGTCACCTTAGTGGAAGAACTGCTAAGAGCTTCCTTGTTGCTCTTAAAAATGCTACCAAAGTTATGTAGGACTGAGGAGGCTGTATTGAAGTGGGATGATACCTTTGTAAATTTATCTACAGTGGTAGTAAAGCATTAATTTAGCTATACTTGAAGCATGTTTGATCTTTGTAGTCTAAAGAATAGGGGGCCATCTGACAATTTGTTTTCTCACTATCACTTAGTCTGAAAACATAGTTATTGTCAAACGAAAGGAGGAGGCCTCGTCATGATTCTTCATGTGCATAATAGGTGAAGTGTAGGCCACAGAATTGTGTGGTTCAGAAAAGCCATGGCAGTACTTAGAGTTGCTTCAAAACAGTTGTGCAGAACTTCATTCTCATCTTGGAAACCATCTACATCACGATTCACTGTTTTTRTTCCTGGAATTTAAAGTACTGAGCCACATGTTGCACTTGAAAGCTCTGAATTCAGGCGAGCAGCGAGGAGAGTAAAACATAGGCTGGTTGGTGGTTCAGTGTGCTTGATGTCCTTAGCTGCAGTTCAGAGATGATTCCTTTGCCTTTGCCAAAGGAAAGGCGGTGCATCTACCTCACAGGTGTGACACAAGGGCTGTTTCAGGAATACTTCAGAGTTGCTTGACTATCTTCATGGTAGCTGCTTGTGTAAGACATAGCACTAGTGCAACTTGATAGAAACTACACGTGTTCATGCTATATCTGTTTAATCCTCTCATTTAATAACAACTAACAGCTTTACGTTAAGATTCTTAATACRCAGAGGACTTGCAAAATTGCTTACAGGAAAAAGGTGCAGCCAGATCCCTCAGTTTCTGCAAGAGTTCAGGTAGACTGAATTACACTGTCTTCAAACAGCTTTCCATGTAGTTCCAAATTATTACAAGCTTTTCTTTTAATCAAATAAGTGATACAGATGATGGTTCTTTTAGATACAGTCAATAGTCAGAGTTTAAGAATGACTGATTGTTTTGAATGATTAAGTTTAGATGATGGATTATTGTACCGCAAATGAAATGTTAAATTAACATTTATTTTCTTACCTGCTTGTTTTCATTTCTAAGTGAGAGCAGATCTCTTGAAAATGCAGGTGTTTTTGTAAAGTAAATGTGAAGTTTTCTTAGCATCTTGTAGTTTTTTTTTAAATAAAGCATGAGTATGGCACCAAAAAAACTGAGTGGTACTCAGTTGATGAAGCAACCTGTAGTAGCAGATGAACAAAAAGACTGCAAACATTCTATACTTTAAGAGCTGCTTTTCTGCAAGTATATTGGAAATGGAGTAACAGCAGTATTATGGGATAGTTTGCAGTGGGCAATTGAACAATGGACAAGTATTAAATTCGTATTGCTTATAAGAATAAAGAGATTCCGAGAGGACTCCGGGGAAGCACTGAGTACCAACATGTTAAATATATTTCAGTAATCATGATTCAATCTCATATTTCCAGAACAGCCTAGTACTAAGTTTTAGGCAGTGTGAAAATAATCTTAACAGGATACCTAAAGGCTGCTGAAGCACAGTGTGATAATCAAGCTAGAYGTTTAAAGGTGTGTGCTGTTGTCTGACCAGGCCCAAAACAGTCTTTTGAAAATATCAGTCCAGGCATCTGTGCTGCATCTAAACAGAAGAAGGTAAGACTTCTTGGGAGGGGGGAAGCTAAATCATTCATAAGCAAGGTAAGTTTATCAGGCCAGATACTGCATTATATCTCTTAGCTGGATGTAGAGTCCCCCTAAGGCTGCAGCTGGGTGTTTAGTATTAGTTTGTATTTATTCTTTTTCCTTCACTAATTTGTATTATGTAACTAGAATTTAAGAGCAGAGCTTTTCCTGTAATTAAGATAAAAAAAAAAATGTGGAATTCATGTGCATAGTGACCACATGAGCTGTAAATCAGAGACAGAGATCTTCCCTACAGAGCTGGGATGGGGCTAGGCAGTGGAACATTTTTTCTATGTGAGGCTGCACTAGGAGGGGGGCTACGTGACCAAAGCCTTACCAAGAAAAGCAGTGTATGATGTTCACTAACTCGATCAGGACTCTGGGAATGATAGAGCCAGCAATACCAAAAGCTGCCAGTTGAGGGATCTCTCTAAGCTTGTGAGACCTGCTTTTGATAACAGGCAAAAGACCACAGAATCATGAAGGTTGGAAGGGACCTCTGGAGATCATCCCTCTGGAGCGGGGGAGTCCAGCCCCCTGCTCCAGCAGGGACACCCAGAGCACGGGGCACAGGGCRGCATCCAGGCCSGTTTGAAGATCTCCAGAGAAGGAGACTCCACAACCTCCCTGGGCAGCCTGTGCCAGGGCTCTGGCACCCTCACAGTAAAGAAGTTCTTCCTCACATGGAGATGGAACTGCCTGTGTTTCAGCTTACAGCCATTACCCCTTGTCCTGTCATTGGCCACCACCAAGAAGAGTTTGGCCCCATCTCCCCTCAGGTATTTATGCATGTTGATAAGATCCCCTCTCCAGCTTCTCAAGGCTAAACAGGCCCAGCTCTCAGCCTTTCATCATACGCTAGATGCTCTAGTCCCTTAATCAGTCTCTCCACGCTCGACCCTCTCTAGATGTCCCATATTCCTCTTGTACGGAGAAGCCCAGAACTGCCCCCAGTACTCCAGATGCAGACTTACTAGAGCTGAGTGGAGGGGCAGGATCCCTTCTCTTGACCCCAAAAAAACCTTGACCTCTTGATCCAAAAACAAAAATATGATCTGTATGAAGGACAGATAAGTGGACAGGTGGAAACAACTGGTTTTGCTCATATATTGCTGTACCTAAGTCTCAAAAGGTCTGAATACAACTCTTTTTTTAACAGTTTTAGGAAAAGAATAAAGAAGCTCTGAAAAGCTGTATTTGCAAACATTTTATGTTTGCTTAAAAAAAAACCCACCACCACCACACACATCAGGGCTATAATCACTTAAGAGAGTCAAACTAAAGAATTAAAGCATCCTGGAAATAGAGAATAGTGAAAAACTAGACATGCTGCTGTCCTAATGTCTGCGCTGGTCCTAGGCCTCCTCCATAAGAGTAAGGCTTCCTATGACTGAAATTACAGTTTAAATGGGGTCCTTCAACTTTGTGTACCCAGTTCAGTTACAAGTAGGTCCAAATTCTGCCTTGTATTCAGGTTTTCCTCCTCCCCCTGAAATGTAGGCCAGCTTACCTGCTACCAGGGCTTGCAATAAAGCACTGCTTGACCAGCTAGTGTTTTGCTCAGCAAAGCAGTTTACACTGTCCTCTAAAAGGAGAAATAGCTCAGCCTGGCTCTCTGAAGAATCCAAGATGTTGTTAGTTTAGTTCTTGGTGTAGAATAAGTTCATCCCGGAATAATTTTTTATATTAGGTGGCCAAGATTCATTTTGACAAATATCTCCCTCGTGGGATGTACATGTATGCTAGGCTAAAGGTGCCTAAATTCAAAGTTCATCTCTTCCACCTCAACTGTCTACAAAAATACTTCCATGCAACTATCAGTTGGTCAAAAGTTGCTGTTCAACCAGTATCTGAACAAAGCATTCATCCTTCCCAGGACTCATCTGCCAATAAATTTTTTGGGTATTTGCCCTATCAGCAGGGATAATACCTCGATTTGTACACAGAATGGAATTTCCAAAAATGTCTTAGCAGGCTTGAAGTGTCAGAGAAAGCCTTGAAAATATGTATTTTAAGTAAACTAGCCCCTCAGACAAAACTTTAAGGGTTTAGAATACAGTCCTACTTTTCTTTGCTAAGGCAGTGACCTTACTCAGCAGATCATCTTTGCATTCAGTCTGCCTGAGGTCATTTTATTTTCTATTTACASACGCCTAAATTCAACTTTGAGATAGATTGTTATTTTTAGTTGATTTGTTTTTTTTAAAGGTTGAAGCTGAATTTGTCTATTTGCATAGCCCATAAACAAAGGAAGAAAACATTGAAAAGATGAAAATTTGTATTAAAGAGCAGAAGAGGAAAGTGGGGAAAACGGAAGAGGAGCTAGGGATCCTCATGTTCCTTTCCCTTTAAACTCCTTTGGCTTCTTTATCTCATCCTGTATTTCTGCAAGCAAACCTATAAAAAAGTGACCTCCACATGAAATCATAATGCTTTCCATAATGACAGAAACCTCACTTCTACTTTATCAGTTGACTTACAGTCTACCTGTAAACTCAACGCCACTGTGCCTGCTAAACCATGTCCCTAACTCCCCAGCTTCCTTGAAACACTGCAAGGGAAGGTGACTCCGCCACTTCCCTGGACAGCCTGTTCCAATCTCTCTCCACTCTTTCCATGTAATTTTTTTTTCCCAGTATCTAAGCTGAACCTCCTAGTGCAACTTGAGGCCATTTCCTCTTGTTCTGTTTTTGGTAGTTATTCAGGAGAAGAGATCGACCCTCACCTCACAGCCTCCTTTCAGGTAGTTGTGGAGAGCGCTAAAGTCTCCCCTGAGTTTCCTCTACTCCACACCAAATAACCCCAGGTCCCTCAGCCGCTCCTCCTATGGTCTCCTCCTTCACCAGCTTCCTTGCCTGTCTCTGGACACACTCCAGCACCTCAGTGCCCTTCTGGTAGCGAGGGGCCCAAAACTGAACACAGCGTTCAAGGTGCAGCTTCATCAGTGCTGAGACCGGGGACCAGCACTTCCCTGCTCCTGCTGGTTACAGTGTTTCCCATACAAACCAGGAGGCTTGGCCATGCTGATGGCTCATGTTCAGCCCACTGTTGATCAACTCCCCTCCATCCTTTTCTTCAGTGCAGCTGACCCTTCATTWCTTCCCTCTGTGCTGTACATTTATTCCATGGCATCCACTTCAGACTTGTATGCCTATATGCCACAAGGGTAACATCAAAATATGAACCTCCTGCCTTACATGACCACCTCTCTTCAGTAGCAAATGGCTGGTGTGCATTTGACTTGACCAAATCGTGTTGCAGAAGAATGACAGAACACTGACACACATTCTTGTACAGGCCAAGATCTGTGACATCCCTGCAATGAGCAGCTCATAGGACCGGGCTCAGTCCTTATTCTGATACTATGTTAGATCCAACCTCAGCTGGCAAGTTTACCAACAAAGTCTGCAGGAGAGAAAAGTTGCTGTGTTGGTTTATACGCCAGGAGTCTATGCAAATAGTATCAAAAATCATGTTGCTAGAATTTAAATAGCATCTAATGACTATCAAAGTACAGCAACATTGTTAGGGCRTTTATATGTGAATCTAATTATAATCTGTTAGTGACAGAGTTGTGACATATGTTAAGTTTTCCATAGAGGCAATATTCAAGAAACAAACAAACAAACAATGCACACACACACACAACGCACACACACACACTTTTGCTAATACTGGTTCATTCATAGATTGCAAATGTTCTCCCAGCTGGAGATGATGTTTTGCCCAAGCTTCCAATCTCT